CCCTCCTTACATCCTTGTCTCTGAAGACTTTATTGCTGGATATTTTTTACTTTTCACTTTCTTCTTCTCCTGTAAGCACGAAGGTCTATGCAAATGTTCAAAGTACTTAGGCAGGTTGGGTGATTGCATTGAAGACAGATTAACCAGATGGGTAATTTTTATTCATTAACTAAGTGTGAATAAGAAACTCCTATATGCTAACTAGTGAAGTCGTGATTTTTTTATTTTATATCTTTGGCCCCAAAAATGGTGGTGTTTTCTTCCCCTCTTGTGGTAATTGCCTCTCAGCAGTTTAATTGTTGCAATTCTAATAGAATTTTAACAGCTGGCGTCAGCAAATCTTGACATCTAGACATATTTTTTTTTCAAAGCCACTTCCTTGGCTTCTTCCTTTGAGTTCTGGTATATATGCAAGAGTAATTTCTTTGTAGCAGTATAACTCTTATCTGTGCTTCTACACCATTGTACTTCTGACAGACTATGTCTGGTAAAGTTTATTACAGACATTTTAATCTAAATCTGTGTGAATCCTTGGAGAACATCTTGATCGAAAAAAGTTCTAACTTACTCTTCTAATCACCAATACATGAAGTCAGTTTATCTCAGAACTATTTTTGGAATAATGTGATCTTTATTCTTTCTTTTTCTCATAATTGTTACCCGAGAGTCATGTCCAATCTAACTCAGTCATACCTGTGTCTGAGTTGGTGGCCAGTGTGAAGTCAATCAAAATTCAGATTTAAAGAGCAAATATTTAGGACTCATTCAGTGCAGACATTATCAGCTTGACAGACACATAATGATAATCTACACATGACAAGATTGATTTTGCAAGAGCCTTTTCTAAATAGAGGTACTGTATGGTCCCTTTCTTTAGTAACTGATTTGTTTTGACACTAAGTGCTCTGCTTTATGCTCTTTTTATGGTAATATTTCAGCATACCTTCTAATCTTAAAATCATCATGCTTCCTGACTAAGAACATGATTGTTCTTGTTTGGCTAGGTCTAGAGAAAACAGGTTTTTAATCAAATTTATGTAATGAACTATATTTCATAAGTTGGCATATGATTTATTTGAATCTGTTTGCATTTAAGAAGACGTCCTTTTAAATGTTAGTCTTCCAATCGCAGGAAAATGTAAGGATTTCTAAACATGGTGATTCTGGGAGATTCTTCGTGAGGATTGGCTTGATACTTTAAATGTTGTGGTGCTATAGACTGTGTAAGAGAACTTTTTTACATCTTGTCAAACTAAAGCTGACCATTTTGTTGAATGAAGTTAACTGTGTCCCTCCTAAGAGAGTCTTTTCATCATTTTTAAGAATTTGATAGCTGTACCGAACTGCAGTTTCTTTCAAGTTGCAATGAAGTAAAAAAAGGCATTGCAGAGAAAACTGATTGCATGGTTGACAGGGTTTCAGTGCTCTGTGGATGTGTGAAACTTTTTAGGAAAA